ACCTTGGTGAGAAATGATCAGTTTGTTCCTGAGGGGCTGCTTTAGAGCAATGTGAGATGTGAGGTGACAGCAGCCTTCCCCATGCCTCAGCACCAAACGAACGGCTCAGCAGTAAATAATTAACCGCAGTTATATTAGAGAGTGGCTGGCGCTAGCCTGCAATTAAGATCCAATTGGGACAAAAGAGCAGGCAACAACAAGCTCCAACTATCTTACACGGTTAAGATGAAATCACTAAACTCGGAAAACTTCATGTGTTGTGTTGACTCAGGGATAGGCCAGGGGACCAGCAGAGCGGAAGAGGAAGCACATCAGTCAAGGTTTGCACTGAGGCTAATAGGGAAATGATGTTCCTGTTTCACAATCGCTTCCTCTCACAGTTTCAGGAGTTTTCCCAGCCCATCTGAGAGGAAAAAACAAAACAAAACAAAAACACAACTTTCAGAGCTGTAAAACCAGAATGTTTATTTCAGCAGACCAAATGGGGGGGTCAAACAAACAGCTTCATCACCAAAAGACTAAATAGTGCAGAGTAGAAAGATTATCTTCATGATGCTCTCTTAACCTTTATCTCCCCCCCCCCCCCAAAAAAAAAAAAATAGCAATGTAATTTCACTGCAACAATATCCTGTAGTCTTTCCAACCGGGGGTGGGGGTGTGTGTGCAGTCTTGAAGAAGGAATGAAAAGCAGTGATAATAATGGTTCTGCTTGGAATAAAACAGCAATGAGAGAGAGAGAGAGAGAGAGAGAGAGAGAGAGGGACTCAAGCTACATTAGACCCTCTTCTCCTGCTTCCTTGCAGACAAGCGGGGGAAAAAAAGGGAGCGACTAGGAGAAACAGACATAGTTCTGTCTGGGTTGGGGTGTGTGTGTGTGTGTGTGTGGTTTTTTTTTTTTTTTTAATTCTTATTCACAAATTGGAGAAGAGGCAGAAATAGCATAAAGTCTTCAGACATGAGACATGACAAGCTGATAGTAACGGTTAAATAGGTGCCTCTGTGCGCATAGACATGTAATTTTATCAAGTAAGTGAGAAGTTCTTCAACAAACAGAAATTAAAACCAGGAAAGGAAAAAGACATGAAGGCCACAAATTCTGAAATTGTGTCTTCCAGGTCACTAAGATTGTTAGCTCCTGTGAGGGCTGTGGAGTCACCAGGGTCCGCTCAGTGCCTGGGCAGGCCACCCCTTTACCATGAAGCAGACAAAGGCTCAGGGTGGGCAAACTAAGAAGGTGAGACAGTGGTAACAGTGACGTGGACTTCCTTTAGCCACTGGCCCTGCCACTGTAACCCTTTCCTCCATGAATGGTGTGTGTGGGGGGGTGTTTTTTGGTGTTTTTTTTTCCTCCCCAAAAGGTACAACAGGCACAATTCATCAGCCATTTTACTCATTTCATCCAGAGAAGCCTAGTTTCCCTGCCTGTTGTATCTGGTCCACTGACCTCCTGTTCTATTGCCTTTTATTTTTCGCACATGATAATAGCGCTCCCACCCCTCATCTGAGCTAAATCAATAAGGTTATGTTTTCTCAATTTTTTTAAGCAGTGTCTTGGAACAGGCTAAATAGACACAAAATCTAAAGACTCTGAACAAGATGCAGCACAGACCAGCCGAAGTCTAAAACTGAATGTGCTCACTGGGGCTAGTAGAGCAAGTTTTGTTTTTCCAGATGGAACACCTTTAGTTCATGACTATTGCTCTTCTGCGAGCAAAGTCCCAGGTCAAGTCTTGAAATGAACTGGCATTTGTCCTAAAGCTATTTAGTAGGAAAATTCTGGTCCATTGTTGTTGTTTCACTTGTAGACCATCAGGTCTATTAGTGGGGGGAGGGGGGCATCAATATTTAACAGAAACTTATAGGTACATAGGACCTATGTTCACATATTTGTATTTACATAGACGTGGGCATACTTTTACACTGCTGGTATCTTGTATTGCTGCATGTTGACTTTCCATTCACAGGTGCAGCTGCATATGCCTAATTTTTCCTGCTTGAAAGAAAAGCAATTCATCTCATCAAAAAAATATTTTAATGCACTTAAAAGTAAGGAACATTAAAAATAGAGGATTAAAAACAGATTAACACAACAGATACTGTTAGCTGACCATGCTCTCCTGTCCATTACCAATGGAAGGTATTAGGACTAACTTCCTCCATGAAAGATAAGTCATAATTAACATTAACTGAACAGTATTAGACATTACCTCTAGTAAATACCACTGAGAATTTGAAGGTCTTGAAGATTATAAACGTTTTAGATTCCTCTTCCCTCTGATGCTGCTAAAAGCAAATCCAAAAGAACGCTGTGGCTGAAATAAGTTAGCAGACTGCCAGGAAGCAAGCACATCTTTCTTTTTCAGAGAGTGGAACTCAAAACTCCTTTTCATTTCTGATCCGGGTCTCTTACAAAAAGCTTCAACAAATAGCTGTTTTTGTGACCAACACAGTAAGCAAGCAGGATGTGGCCAGTTAGATGACAGTGTGGGGTGTTTTTTCAGAGCTGCATCTTCAATGGCCGCATTGCCACAAGAATACTTCATTCATTACCAGAAAACAAAGCTTAATTTATTATCAGTTACACTAGCTAACACTGCCTTTTAATAAATTACACTTTTTAATCTTGATAGTGTTTGACTGCTATATGATACATGATCTCCATTATAAACTAGCCAACTCTGAAACACACAGAACTGAGAAATTACGGAACAGGTCCTGTAGTAGTTAATCTTTCTGAACATCCTCTGATGGAAATAAAAATGCAACATACACAGCTCTTTTTAATTAGTTTATTTTTAAAAATCCTGTCAGAAATATAGCTGTGCATTAATTACAAAATATATTAAACAATCTATTGATACTTCTTAGAGAACAGGAGGGCTTCCATTCTGTCCAAATACAACCACCACAAACCTTCAACAGTGACCCCAGAATAATCTTTTGCATCAACTACCAATACATTTGATGAGAAAGTGTCTCTAAATGAGAGCAGGAAGGTCATTCTAATTCGATTTCATTAGCAAGTTTAACCCCTCGATAGCAAACGTGACCAGACATATCATGAGACCACTTAAAAAAAAGTCTATACATCTCATGTATCTGAGCTCCCACACATACATGACATACATACCAATATTTTTAGTAAAATAATTTTCCCTGCCCTGCAGGGGGAGACATTCAGAGGCAAAAAGAAAGCTTTTGCAACATATTATACTTGGAAAATTTGTGCCATAGCAGCTTTGCAAATACATGTACTTAGAGTGTCTGACTTGAAATATGTTCAAGACGGTAGAAATTGGAAAGATAAAAGAAGCTAAGCCACCTTCAAAAAACCTTGAGATCCAATAATGTGGCAAAGCATTAAGAGTTACAGAGCTAAAGCACTCCACTCCTGGAAAGAATGGAACTGGTTCAATCCCCATATTACTTCAGATTTGTTTTAGAGACAGTTCTCAAGGCTGCATACGATTCTGCTTCCATTCAAGTATTTCTTGTTGTTATACTCAATCCAACATAGTATAATGATTTCTCAAAAGAAGAGATCAGATTAGAGGAACATAAGAAAAAAAAAAAAGCGGCTGTTTCACTGAAAATATATTTTCACACAGGCTGTCTTACCGCCAGCCTTAAAGTTTGAATAAAGGATAGTAGGACTACATCTGAGATAGTAACAATCTAGAGTCATAAGTTCTTCCATTAGCTGGAAATGACGTTCTTACCTGTAAGAGAAAGCTCTGGAACTGCAGTTAAAATCAAGAGTAGTCTGGAAGGTGGGGGGAGAAAGAGGAAAGTCAAACAACAAGATGAATAAACCTTTCGTTAACACTTACAATTTGTCAAGACAGAAAAGTTTTAATTGATATTTAGCAAATTAGCTATGAAAGTTTTTAATGCAAAACTCTGGCATTATAGTAATTTGGCATCATTCAGAGGTCTTCCTGGTAATATTAAGATACAAAACCAGTAAAGTAGCAGCAGTGACTAAAGCATTCATATTACTGTGGTCAATACAGTATTATACATACACTAGCTTTCTATTTGCTATTGGGTTCCGCTATTGTACAGTATTAACCTGACTCACTTAAACACCGAAACCTGCCACCGAACAGAGTTTCCTCCCCAGTAAGAATTACATCAGAACTAACATAAGGCTCAAAGCAAAAATTCAGCTTCTTTTACTTGAAGGTTTGTGATGCAAAGCTTCAAAAGGAAAGTATTAATGCACTTAGTGGATCTTGGTAATATACTCTTAGGATACGGACTAAGAGCATTTTAAATATCACTGAGGTTGAGAAAGGAACTGAGGCAGGAATAAGCTCTCAAATTACCTATTTTTTTCTTTCCTTCTCCTGAAAAAAGGAGAAGCTTAGTAGTCTTTGAACATCTTGGGGAAAAAAACCCAGAGAACTAACAGCCTGAAAAAGATTGGAGAACTAAGATACAGTGTCAAGAACCGCTTTCTGTATTTACTGGAGCTGGGCACTGTGACATATATTAAAAGCCCTTGGTTAGGGATGGTTTAACTACTAAGAATGCTGTAACCAAAGACACTCCCAAACAATTCAGCTATTACGTTGAGTCTATTCCATGTAACAAACTACTTAAGACATAGTTTTAAAGCATGATCTTTCTGTATTTTGAGTAATGTACACTCATCTGTCTTCTAAATCCACAGAATTAGTCTAAATAAAATTGACTAAGTCAGTCAGTGACTGTCTGCATTTACCATTAGCCACAAAGTTCAGGTTTCAGTAGTGCAATATTCCATTGAACATAATCTCCCTTCAATTAATAGGCTCCATCCGCAAAATAAATTTTATTCAGCTGGATATGATGAAAAAAGTGGTATGTTGCATCCTGGATTTTTTGATCTCATGCAGGTAAGCAGAGAACCCTCCCAAATCAATATATTATAATGCTCTTTCATTGGCCTTGTATGTATTAAATATGCACTTTCCTGACTGATGATCCTTACTGGATTGCCTACGTGGGGTTAAATACCCAGGATGCTTTCAGTATCTTTCCAGTTGCAGTGTCTTAAGCCTTTCGATTGTTTCACTAGTTTGGAGGAATAATGGAGAACATATGCTTACGTATGGCTTAATTCTTTCTTCTGTATCTGACTGTGTACTTAAGTTACAGGATGAACAAATTCCACCCCCCTCCCCCTTTTAAAGGTAAAATTCAGAATTTTACCAGCACCATGATAAATTAAAAACTTGTTATTAGCACCAATGACCTTGAACTATTCAGCTTTGACTAGTCAAAGCGAACATGTATATAGCATACAAACACTCAGTATAGAAAAAAGTAATACATACAATTTCAGGAAGCCTATGAATTCTTTAAATAGCACAGGGGGGTTGGACTAGATGATCTCCAGAGGCCCCTTCCAACCTCAACCATTCTGTGATTCTGTGAAATCTAGTGTTTGGTAAATGGGACAGTATGGAAGCCAGATTTTTTTTTTCCTGGAGAGCAAACAGGATTGCAACTTCTCCCTCACACTAACCAGAAGGCTTTTCTTCCCCTTCAAAATGTTGAAGGTGGCCCAGCTCCTATTGCCAAATGGGACAGAAAAATACCCATGACACTTGGATGTTGATATGGCCAGCTGTCCACTGCAAATTAATAGGACACCACTCTAAGTCACCCAGAACACCACGGAATCACTTGAACAAGATGCAATTTTATGCCACAAGTTCAACTTTGGTGCAAATTCAGGTTTGATCAATGGTTTAAAAAAACCCACAAAAACTGGAACATCATATCTAGGTGAAAAGTCTGGAAATGTTTAGCATCAAGAGGAGGTCCTACCAGCACAGAAGTATCCTAGCCTAACGCTAAACAATCTCTCTAGCAACATTGATTGATGTTGTTGGCCTGGAACACACACTTACAAAAAGATTGGTCAAATAAAGAGAACTTGGGGGTTCCTTTCAGACCACCTTACACATGTTTCTTCAGTGAACTCAACTCAGAGTCATTTAGCCTCCTCCACAACACTACCACATGTCTTTCAGAAATTCTAATGTCAACTCTACATCAACATGCAACTTCCTGAAGCTAACTTCACAGGAGAGAAGGGTCACAGCTTATCTCACTTTTGGTGATGTTGACAAAGCCTTAACCTGATTTAAGATTTCAAGACAAGCATAGCCAATTCAAAATTATTGCTGAGTCAATATAGCAACCATCTCGACTCCAAGGCAAAACTTCCCCGAGTTCTGTAAAACAAAACAAAAAAAACCCCGAACCCTCAGCTTTATTAATTTAGCTATTTCTCTGCTACAGCACGGGTACATCCATACCAAGGCACTGAGGCACAAAGGTTTACAGGTCTTTTCTGATATGACTTTTGTTTCACCAAGCAGAGATGTCCAGGTACTTCAACAGGATTCTTTTGCAGGCAACTAAGCTTTGATTATTAACAATACTTCATGTAGTTAGCTTGCTACAGAAGTAGCTTTCTACATTAATAGAGAATGATAAGTAATATTTAAACACATGACCTCAGAGGAAAAAAAAAAAATAGTGTACCAGTGACATCTAGTTCAATTCAGGTGAAGATCAACTATGTTAGCTTGCAGAGTGACACTGAATCTTATGCTCTTTTACACATTTAGTCTATATAGACTAGGAAGCATGCTTGTAATCTGTGGCTGAAGAACATGACCAGCGGCTCCATTCCTTTGGTTATGGCTTTCAGGTTAAACAGTCCCATCAGTACTGCGAGCTTGAAATCCTTCTCTGCGGAGACTGTTTAAGTCTAGACGTGTTAGAACTTCACAGCGCACCAGAAGAGTATCATCCTTTACAAAGGTTCTTTGCTTCAAGGTTTGTAGGTGCATGAAAGTCACATAACCAAAACCTTTGGGATTGCGGTGAATTGTTGGTCTCTGGAAGGCTAGTAACTCCGGCTTGGCTTCCATTACTTCTTCATGATTCTGCCTTTCAGGTCCTTCTGACTGATCCAAAATAGAAAGTCGTATAGTGCCTTGGAAAGGCCAAGGCAGATGGCTGTCATATTCTCCTTGCATAGTGTGGACAAACAGAGATATAAAGTTAGCACAGCGCTGAGCGTTTGGTAATTGGATGTGTAGCCGCAAACACAGCTTGTAGCCAGGTTTTCCAGTATAGAAGCCAGGACTGTGCATCACAACAGGTCGCTCTTCTTCCTGGGCTTTCTGAAGTCCACTGAAGTTCTCAATCTTCCAGATGTAAATACCATTACATTGCTGTGCCTCCATTTCAGTAATTTTTCCCTCCAAATTTCGGATAGTACGTTTGAGTTCAGCCATGTGAGTGTTCTGAGTCTCCATTTTAGCAATCAGTTCTCTGATTTGGTGATCTTGTCTTACCAGACGACCTTCCAGCTGCTGAATAGTTTCTTTGAAGTTTTCGACTTCAGGATTACAATCATATGGGGCAGATGAGACACGGGAGAAGAGGGTATGCTCAAAGGGTAGGCCATTGATAAAGGGTACACGATTCGCAGCAGTAACATGGATATTTTGAAAACTCTGAGCCATCATTCTCATGTGAACCTGAGTGAACTCTTGCATATGTCGTGCCAGCTCATTCCTCTGCATCTAGAATTTAATGAGATGGGGCATTAGGAACATATGAAACATTATCTGCAATCACAACTTAAAGCTAGCTCTAGAGAAAACTAAACTACTGTTTGTTTCTCACTTCTATTATGGGAGAAAAACTGGATTGTCAATCAAGGACAGATTGTCAATAAAGGACAGACAATGGGACAAAGTAGCATTTTACCAATGGAAGGCTCCAAATTTAAGACCACCAAATGAAACAAATGGACAAATGAAAAAAGAAGTTCAAATGCCAGTAGGCAACTATTGTTTAACTCAGAATAGTGGCAGGGTGAAAAAGTGTTAGGATTCCTTCAGCGATAAACATGTATTCAGTGTTTCTTCTGTGTTCTAAATCAGCATTGAATTCCCTTCACTGAACTGCTGAAATGACTGCAGAGTTCCAAACATAAAGGGTTATGAGAACTGACAGAGGAAAGGATGAAGAGAAAAGATTCACTCTTAGAAAGAGTTATTGCATAACTACAATGAAGAACATCCAAATAAAACAATTTTAAAATTTAATCTAGTTTAGAGCATTCTCAAGTTTCCTTCATTGAAATTTAAGAGCCACGAATGTATTTGGTTGCAACTTTACAAGAAATGTTAGAAGTTACTTTATTGGCTTGAAAGCTGAGATACACTCACAGATTACCACAAATAGTACATCAAACTAATCATCCACAAAGACTTTTTTACATTTAAGAACTTTTGAAAAGCACTGTATCAGGCCAACAAGGAGTGTTTTAGAATCAACAACAACAAAAAAAACCTCAAACCAAACAAGTACACAAAAAACCCCACCACCCACCAGCCTAAATACTCAGTGATTTGTGAATGAGACCACAGTAGCAAAAATATTTAAAAAAATGCAGAAATCTGCAATGAATGGTTCTGATAAAGGCTTACCTTTTCAGGACACCCAAAGGCACTGTAAAAACATGGTACGGGGGCAGTAGGACAATCATTATCATAATGGTTAGGCATCTAAAACAGATCAGACATGAAGTTAATTTTCCCATCAAGGGTATTCTTACAATATCCTGAAAGACTAGCGCTAAATGGACACCGAATAGGCGTCTGAAGTCAGATCAGTTATTCTTGTATCATTTCTCAAAGAAATGAGGAAGTTTTGAACAAAAACATTAGCTAACAAAAACAAATTGACATCCTCCTTGTATATGCTCTAACACTTCATTGCCTTTGTTCTCACATTAGGGATCAGGTTTTCTTGCTATGATACAAGCCTTTCGATTCTAGCCTATCTGCAAGCTAGATCACAGTTCATTTCCTTCCTGTCTGTAGCCCTATTTTCACATACTTAAAAATAGTTCTCTCTGATAATTATCCTCTTCCATCAAAAGCTCAAGTTACTTCAGTATTTCTATTCTATTCAATATTTCAATATTTCTTATGGTCCATGTTTTCCAGCCCCTGTTATCTCACTGCTCTGGATCCTCCCTATCCTTCCCCACTCCAAAAGCTGGGCAGCTTCAGCTGAGGCGTTATAAACCCTAGGCAGAGCAAAGGATAATTCTGGGTTTTATAGATGAAATGCCTCTTTATATAAGAGGCCAGTATGTTTGCCTTGTTTAAATATCATGATGAAATAGAATACAAGCTTAACACAGGTTATCTACTACTTTGAAATAACTGCTACCCAGTTTAGCATTCTCTGTTCCATATTTTGGCAGGTCATTATTCTGCCTAATGACAGATTTTAGCCTTTGTCTTTACTGAACTCAACCCTGTTTTTTTCAGACTAGTTCCCCAATTTGACAAGATCATTCTTTATCCTAACCCAGGTCATTAGCATGGCTGCCATCCCATCCAAACAGGGACAGGCTGCAAATTAAATAACACTTGTCATTTTCCTGTCAGTGAAGTAAGTTATTATTGAACATAAATAATAATGACTATTACTATAGTAATAGACTAGCAGAACTCTACCTGGCATCTACTGTTTGGCAGTGAACTATTCATAGCTAATTTCCAACAGCAGCTTTCCAATTACACACACTCTCATTCTGTCCAAATCAAAGTCTTGTCTTCAAATGTCAGTCAAAACCTCAAGCAGCTGTTTCTTGATTCAAGATCAGAGACATGCAGCATAGATCCTATCACAAAACAGTATACCTCAACAGTGCAATCTGCAGTAAGAAATCCTACAGGTTTGCTAGACTGCAATTGTATCCAAGAGCAGCATTTAAAAGAACCCTACACGTGCAAGGATGCAACTTTTTTCAAGAGAGAACAAGAGAGAGATTTGTTTGAGGTTAAGGCAGCAACGTAAATACAAAATATCTGACCCAGAGAAGACCCAGAGAAAGGTTGTCTCTTACCTGCTCTCTGATGAGCACTGTATTACAATATTCACAAAATACGTTGGCTAGTGGACAGGTTTGGTCATGAAGCTTAATTATCAAACAGAAAAAAAAAAGGAAAGAAAGAATTAATAATATTATATATGGATAACTTAAAAGAATGCTGGTCATCTCTGCTGAGATGATCAATTTTTTATTTTCAAATTTTGCATTTCACTGAATTTAACTGTAGGAAGGGAAAAAGAGACAACTCCCTTACCCTGAACAGCACATTTTCTATACCTCCTGTTTTTTCCTGGTCTCATGCCAAGAAATTCAAAAAGATGCAGAAATTTTACTTCCTAAAGCTCTTATGTTCCAAGGAGTCTGAATTTAGCTAGATATTTCTAAAGTTCACATTCAATTGAAGTGGAAACATATTAAAGGTTTTATTTTTTTTTTTGGATTGCTGGAACGTATGGGGTATCTTTGACAACTCAAAAATATTGTATCATATACTTAAAATAAACTTAATAGCCCTTGAAATAAAAGACATCCATTTAGGAATAAAGAAATAGAAGCTATAAAAGGAAAGGGCTGTGCCCAGCATCACCCAGATAAAAAACACAAGAGCTAGGAGAAGAATTCAGAAGTGATCCTGGCCTTGTGCGTTAGCGGATTCCTCCCAAAAGATGCATCTCTTGCCCTTTCTGCCGGCAGAGAGGCAGAACAAACTGTAAATGCAAGATACTGCCCTGCTATTTTGGGAGTAGATATCGCCCTCTCCGATGGTCAGGCCAAAAATCAATGGCCCTTACAGCAAGCCTTTTGACACCACCGCGTTCCCAAAAGCAGTGTATCTAAGCACAGTCCTCTCCCCAAATTTCACCTGTCCTAGACAAACATCCTAGAATTCACAACTTCTCACCTGTGCAGCACAGAAAGCTCTTCTAGATCAAAAACTTTTTTTTTTTTTTTTTAAACTGATGCTGCATTTACAATCAAGAACACACGGAAGGAGGTGAAAGATGCTCTTGTGAAGTACCTCTTTATCTTCGTAAGCCATAGACATGGCACAGTTTGGACAACAGACTTGACGCCTTGGACACTCCTGCGTCATGTGCTCTTTTAGGTGGTTCTTCTGGAAGGATCCTTGGCACTGAGGGCACTCCACAGTGGAGAAATCGCACTGCAGCTGGTGGTCCTGAACAAGGGCAAAAGAAGGATTTGACACTACAGACAGGTACTAGCCTCTCAACCGTCCAAGAGGAACATAAACAACTTGAAATCTTTCCTTCATGCAAACGCTTACATCCTTATGGTGACTTTACTAACTAACGGCCTGTCAGTGTCCCATGACTAAGATGAGGACTTTATGCACCCAGAACTTTAACAGGTGAATTCAGCATTATGATTACCCTTAAAACTTGGTGTATTATTTTCCAGAACAAATAATTATTTCAACTAATATATCTGACTGCTTTGAGGGAATATGCAACTGACTTTAGGGAACTTGTGTGCAGTACAGACCCAGCTGATGCAAAGGCAAATAAGAATGATCCTAAAGACCAAAGTGTATTAATATAATTTTTCATGCACTATGATGTTCACTTGAGAATGACCTAACTACAGTTACACACGTCTTAAAAAACAGTTGTAGGCTTGAATGAACAATGTTTGAATCAGCATAAACAGGTATCAGGTATGACCACTACTAGGTTACCTTGAAATTTCAGTTGCTCAAGAAAACAATTCTCACCTCCAAATGCCTCAACTCCATCTTCATACAGCAGCCCTTGTTGGGACACCTCACCATTAAAGAAAGGATTTCCCGTTTAGCGAAGTTGTCAGGGAAAAGTTGATTTTCAAGCAGAATTTCATTGTCTACTGGACATTTATGGCCTGCATCTCTACAACGCACAAAGGAAAAAGATGGAGACAAGGCAAAAGAGAGTCCAAATTTTCTTTGCCCTTAAATTAAGATAATTTTACACTATCAAGACATCTGTGACCAAATTATTACACATAAAAACAGTCTTTGAAAATAATGGCATTTATGCAGCAATTACCAGAAACCATACAATGTAAATCAGAGAAACTGCCAATATACAATTTTCACTTGAGGCGGTACTATTGTAATCCAGTACTATTCTAATTTAGTAGTTTCTACTTGGACAAATGCCCTGACGGATACTCTGGAAATAAACTTGAGGAGGATATAGAGAAGCTGAAAACTTAGGGTCCCATCTCTGTAAATACTTCACACAGCTCAAACATCAAAGAAATAGTCCTTTAAAGATTCTTAGACCTTCTCCTTTCTTTTGCTCTTTATAAACATCTCATTTTGTTACAACAATCAAGCTGTTCATACCCAAGACAGAAGGCAGAGGACCTCTTTCTTCCAGATTCATTTCGTCTGTTTGACGGAACGTTTTGTATAGCCCATTTCCCTGTCTCTGTTTTAAAACCACTGGATCTGTTGGCCCCCCTTCAATCTGTGTATTTCTGCATAGCAAGAATTACTGAGAAGGTGACATTAAAACTATGAAACGGCACTGGATATGGGATCAGGTATAGTATCTGATGCCATTTTAACAGCAAACTGGACGTTCCAGGCTGGTGAAAGTCGAATCTGACGGTGAAGCATAAGTGCATGCAGCTCGCACAGGGGAAGTAACAGACTGTGACACTTTGTCAAGTTCTGTCTACCTGCACGTAAACATGATAATCATCACAAATGGAATCAAAAAGGGACACCCTCCCCAAATTTTCCTTAAAAAAAAAAAAAAAATTACAGAATCAGTGGTTGAGGTTGGAAGGGACCTCTGGAGATCATGCAGTCCAACCCCCCTGCTCAAGCAGAGTCACCTAGAGCACATTGCCCAAGATTGTGTCCATACGGCTTTTGAATATCTCCAGGGAGGGAAACTCCTCCACCTCTCCGGGCAACCTGTTCAAGTGCTCAGTCACCCTCACAGGAAAGAAGTTTTTTCTTATGTTCAGATGGAGCTTCCTGTGTTTCAGTTTGTGCTTGTTGCCTCTTGTCTTGTCGCTGGGCACCACGGAGAAAAGCCTGGCTCCATATCTTCCCTTCAGATGCTTATTGAATTGATCAGATCCCCCCCACAATCTTCTCTTCTCCAGGCTGAAGAGTCACAGCTCTCTCAGCCTTTCCTCTAAGAGACTGGAGCATATCTCACATATCATCTTCATAGCCCTTTGCTGGACTCGCTTCGGGAGCTCCATGTCTCCCTTGTACTGGGGAGCCCAGAACTGGACACAGTACTCCAGGTGAGGCCTCACCAGGGTTCAGTAGATGGGGAGGATCACTTCCCTTGACCTGCTGGCAATGCTGTGCCTATTGCAACTCAGGATACCACTGATACCACAAGGGCCATGCAAGGGCTCACGGTCAACTTGTCCACCAGGACCCCCCAGGTCCTTCTCCACAGAGCTGCTTTCCAGCAGGTCACTTGCCAGCCCATACTGGTGCGGGAGCTTATGCCACCCAAGGTGCAGAACCCTGCACTTCGCTTTGTTGAATTTCATGAGGTAATATTATGCCATATTAGCTCATTTCTGAAAGCAGTAAGTCAACATACACAACTAAATAATATAGTTAAGGGGCATGAGGGATTAAAGTCTCTGAGCTACAGTAGTAATGGAAAATAGCGATAATATGGAAAAATACATGGGGTGGAAAAAAGTCAGAGAGCATCTGTGGTGCAAAGATCAAAGGCCAGATCATTCTTTCTGCTTGCAAGGGTGAAGGGAAGCAGAACCTAGTGGGCTGCAGAGAACAGGAGCGAATTTGTGTTCTCTGTTGGATAAGGAAATAATTGGTCAGCAACTCCTTTATTAGCAATGCTGCAAGAGGAAGTGGGGGTAAATCTTAGACTTTAGAAAGAGACAATGAACTTCCTTTCCAGGGCTTTGCTCTTAAGAGCTAATTTGCCACAAGTCTGACAGTCAAACTCCTAAACAAATGGAAAAAAAGAAAATTCATCAAATTCACACCATTTCATCTCGTAGCTCCCTCAGCAGCGTGCTGATCTTTGTCACAACCCAGAAACCTTCCCTCAAGTCACAACCAAATTACAGGAAACCAGTTGTTACAGGTATAATTTGGTTACAAATATCCTACTTAGTGAAGTTTATGGAGAGCTCAGTAAGACAAGACAGCAGCCTTACTTCTACATGCATAAGGTAACTATGTTTAATAATAGCCAACAATAGATTAATTTTTAACAATGACAACTGGATCTCCAGTTTAAATGACTACCAGTCTGAGGTTAAAATAGGAATGCCTAAGGCTGCTTAGATCTAACTACAAAGAAGATGCTGTAAATTTCCGCATCACAGAACTGAGTTTATGCACTTCAGTTCTAATTTACATTGCATGCTGTTATTCCCCAGTGGAGGCTTTCCTATGCGGGAATTATTCATCAGGGTGAGCTCTGCCACAATCAATGGTACCTGTGAAACAATGATAACATACTATTAAATGCAATGAATATTCATGTAATTCCACTGGCAATTTAGTTACAGATATGAAAAGTAAAGCCAGAATAATCCTCTTTGAAGAAGAGTGTTCCATGTTTTTAGCAACTGAGCAGCTTAACCCAGAAGCAAAACAGCAGGCAGACAGCTTAGCTGCAGGCATGCAGGTTGTTTGATGAACTGCTCGCACCCAAGGCTCCCCTGGCTCCCCCCCTTGCTCATCTGATAACAAAGGGTCAGACATTTGGTGAGTCCTGCTACAAGCCCTAAATTAGCTTTGACGTAAGACACAGGAGAAGAAAGACTAGAGAGAAATTTAGTTAGCTATGGCATCTGAACTTAGTTCTTCTAAAATTTCCAACAAAACATTTTGTGGACAGTAATATTTGTAAAGTTCTACTTGCAGTTACTTAGGTAGGCAATCATCTTTGCTACTGTGACTGATCGAGCTTTACAGTACTTAAGACAACTTTACTTAAAAAGATGCCAAGGCTTTCTGAAAAGCAATCATTTGTTGTGATCAAGCCCATCTGGACTAATCAGGTACCGCTTGTGACAAGACTGAAGCTTAAAAAGCATTTTTTTGGCAATTAAAAGCTCTTTAGAAAAATCTTCCTAGTTTCAGGCACAGCTTCTTCAACACGGACAATTACAGCCAGTACCGCTGTGTGCCTAAGCCACAAGACGACTGAACAATTACTCAACAATTACTTGCCCACCCGCTACCATTTTCATTCCTTAATCTCGGTGTTCTCTCAGAGCAGACAGTGGGGAAATGAGGAAGTAAAACGGAAGCAATTTTTTTCTTGATCAAACAAAGGCTGTGACAATCCCTTAACAAACAAGTAATACTTAACAATGTAAAAATCATTGTCCATTCTCATTTTATTTCTGCACAAGCTTCTCAAAGACATCAATCAATATTGTACTGTAGGCATCACATACCCTGAATTAATATCCCAACCCACGGACCTCAATTAAACCTCCAGTTCAGCCCTTCCACTTAAAGGAGTCTGGCATTTAAGCACTCTGCTCTACTTTCACAAGTACTCGCTCAAACTGCACTTTAAAGACTGATTTCGGTGGGGAGCGAGGCAAAATATTTGCTATTAATTAAACATCTGAAATATCACAGTGATGATCTATAGTCTCCAAGATGGAAAAAACCCTTGCCACCTGTGTTCAGTACTCACTGAAACAGTTAACACTATCCATAGAAAGAAGAGAAGTAAAAAGAGGAAAGGGTGTAACACAAGTAAGAGCTTCTGGTTATTAACACTGTTTACAGACCTGCAAAAGCTCTGTTAATTTAAAAAGGAAGAGAAACCATTTCCCATGCCTGAGGTTTAAGAAGAAAGTTTTTCTACCAGCTATGAGATACGCTATGTTCTGAGCACAAACTTACTGTAGTTCCTCACTTAAGGATTGTGGTAAATTTTAACTCATGAGCATCATTTTGCAGCTCATCATCAGAAGCAGAAGAATTAGAAAACAATATCACCTTAGATACTAAGATTATGAAAGGCTGGAAGCAAGGGACCCTTTGCGGGTAACTTCGAGTTTAGTTATTCTCCCCGTCCCCTTTTAAAGCTAGGAATTTGGTGCCTTTGAAGTGATTGGTAACTAGATATTTCTAAAGCTCAACACAGTTCAGCACTGACTGATTTATCTTCAGAATTTACATTATGCTCCCATGAGAAGGTTTAAAGATTTCTTATTTTTTCTTTCTTCCACAAATTCCCAAGTTAAAGGAGCAGATAAAAACTGCTATTGCCAAGAAATACTGCAAGCTCGGAGACAGCAGTTAGGGACTTCCAAATTTAATGGTCTTCATTAGCACAAAAACCTACTTCTGTGCTTACAAGCATATAATATTATGTCCAATAAGCTCTTGAAAGAATTTAGTTTGGAACATGCAAAACAAAGGCTAGAAAGTGCTTTGTTTAAACTGCTTGTGCCTAGGCAATAGCACATACACAGTCATAGCCAACAGGTTTAGTATTGCTTTTGTCTTACTCTGTGCCCTGAGCTGACCCGAATTCCACTAAACAATGCAACTGGGCAAGGCCTGACTTATTTGTTGAAGTAGTAGTAATGTCATGAATGAGGCACGGGACTACAGGTGGGGAAAAAAGGGCGATGCCATGGTACGGTTCCTGGAGTACTAATCCTCTCTTAGCTTCCTCAGCAGATCCAAGGGACAGGCACTTTTCACAGGTGAAACATTCTACATTTTCTAGATAACAAAATGTCACCCTTTTCTCAAAAACATTGATTAAATTAACGTCAACAAGAACTGTGCTTGCAAACAAATGCAATAAAGTTGTGCATTTCCTAGAGAGGAAAACAACATACTCTTTTGCTATCATAAGTAGGGAATGTAAAATTAAGTTCATCTTTCTATACCCAGCTCCAATGCTTTCCTTCTTGATCGAAAAAGGATGCCATGAAGAAACATTGTCTGCATCGGACACAACAATGACAGAAGCTACAGAGAAGCCCACAAAACCACAAAATACTATATTCAGAGAACACATTTGCTGGCATGCCATTAATTTATGTGAGCTACAAATGCTGAACTATGGATAAATGGAATAGAGCTACATATAAGTGGAATGGAAAATCATCAAGAAAGCACTATCCATTTTGCATGCTAAAAAAATAAGTGCCCGGAAAAACAACGTTGTAAGGCAGGGCTGAAGGCAATTTCATGATTTTATGCACAAAGGTGTGAAAAGTAAGGGTGGAAATTAACTAATTCTGGCATTTTCTGATTTAAATATACAGCTTCAGAGCTCTAAGAACTGCAATGGTCTTATAAATGCAGTACAGTAGGAGTATTTAAAAAAGAAAACAAATGAACAAACCAATTTCATTATGAGGGTCACATACAGAATTCACTCTTTAGATTTGTACCGAAGAACTGTGACATTTGAGCTAACAGAGCAATGGAAAAGAAAAATTCTGGCTTATGCTTGGGTGAAAAAACCCAGCATATTACAGCATAATATCTAACCTGTCAATGTGTTCCAGTCCTTGCTGACACGAGTGAGACGATGACTACTGTATTCCAGGTTTGAGGGAAGCACAGGGGAAACCTGCCACTGAACCTTCCTCCCTCTCTCAACCATTCATTTTTACCAGCTCAGCCTGTTCTTCTCTTGCATATCTCACTCCCACTCCCCTGCCTACCACCTAATTTCCCCTCCCAGCTCTTTGCTCCAGACTATTCCCTTATTACTTCTTTTAAGTAAAGCTACTTTCTCTCCTTCAGCCCAGCAAGCAAGCATGCGATTGCTAGGGCAGAACAGAAAGCAGGAATTGCTACATCTGCACCAAGAAACCTTGTTGTCCGTAGTTATTAAAAGAAACAATCATAAAGAAAGGTCAGCTTTCATAACCCTGGGCTGTGGTTGGAATTCATCTGGAGGATTTGGCTACCAGATCAAATTTTTTTAATTTAAGGTTTGCTCAGTCAAAATTTTATACTCATAACCTGGGTGACTTTGGATAAATGGCAAAATACTTCATGCTCTTGCAACCTCCACTGTGTCAAGAGCTTACTTTTTAGGATCTTCACAGGAAGGTTACACAGTATGCCATCCCAGAAGGATTCTTTTTAAGAATTTGCTTTTAATCCCTTAAAGTAACTTATTTCTTCTTAAACAAGTTTTTAAGAAAAAGTATTAACATATTTATTTTTATTTATTGACCAAGGGAGACACTTGGTCAAAGTAAGTCTGGCAAAGAGACAGATATTACTGTTAGATTAAAACTCATGATATTTTGGCTATACATGGTGTTTATTAGACAGCATCTTGAATGCACTATAAATTGAAGGAGCAGCATCACTATTCACTGATGTGCACCTTAGTAAGTTATGTTCAGTTTACATTGTCTTTAAACTGTCCTACTTTGTCAAGTGAATTTCTTCTAAAAAGCAATTTCCACAACTTTTCCTTTACCTTATTGATTTGACAATGCAGCCTTTGCAAAAGCGGTGTCCACATGGTGTCTGCACTGCTTCCCGAAGAGCCATCAAACAGATTGGACATTCATATTTACTTTCCAAGGGTGGATCAAACTCCACATCATATCCTTGAGTTTCCTCTGTGAAAGAGCTTGGAGGGTTTCCAGCCCCACTGCTGACGCTTACACTATCTTCTTTTGCTCCCACGCTGCAGGCGCTGGCCATGGCTGCACAGCAGCCACTTTCCAGGTCTCGGGCTCCGCAACTGTTATCGCTGTGTAGCAGGCTCATAGTAGCTAATCGAGTATCACTCAAATGCTCTGCAAGATGACAAAAAGATGCATTAATTTCAAATATTCCAAGACCTTGCTTTCCAACCAAGAACAAGTCATTTCTACTTCTGACCGGAAACACTGGAAAATAGCACCGGCTGCAGATATGGTTCTACCCAAGATAACTCGTTTTGTTTTGTCCCAGTTTCTCTGTCATGTATCTTTTTACATATCTTGTGATACAGAGGAAAGAGCACCGCATCCTGTCAGCTGAGTTCAAACACAAACATGCACACCTTTCTGCAGTCTCCTTCATCTGACTACCTAGTTTCTGTAAATTGAGGAATATTCTCTTTCCTGGCTATGTTTAGTCAAAATGAGTCTTTTCCCTTTCCATATTCCATACGGAGAAGTATTTCCATACTTCTAAAGAAAACACAGATAATTTGCATGAAAAATGTGATACAAAGCCAAGTTTTATTGGATGAAGATAGCTTAATTTCATATTTTCCTTGCAATGAATAAATGCTATTTAACATTTTTTGTATAGAAGGATTTGTGGTATAGGTTTCAAGTTATTTGCTAACACCAGTTTAGGCGCAAGCCTCCAAATAAAATGCAAGTCCAGATAGCCCAAACAAGGAGACACTGTGCTGTAAATGCAATGCACATATACGGCAATGTTGATAACATTTAAAAACTGTCAATAGGACGTTGAATTGAGTCAGAATCTACACGTGAGAGAAGGGTAATATTTCTACAGCTCTAAAAGCTATCCACAAACTAATAGTATGCAAATGACTTTCTTGCTTTCCTGTCTTTCTTTCAGCACAGCTGGGAGGGAGGACAGGAGGACACGACTGTAAAAACAGAAAACAAAAGTCACATTTCCCTGAGGAGGAGCAAACGGCATAACAAAGCCAGTTTTTAGAATACTGCTTACAAAGCAGGTTGAACTCATATTTGTGAGATGAACAAGTGCTGGTATCCCCCACGCTAACTTTTCTACACGGAATGAGGGAACCGCCGTAAAGAAAAGTTTAAACAACAATTTTGTCATCATCACAAACATTTTCTTAGCCGAGTCCTCTTGTAGTCAGTTTTCTATAAATGACACTACTCCGAAACACAGAGGTCATCCAGAGGCACAGCGCGAGGCAGTACGAGCAGACTGAGGGTTACGAAGTCAGGCATGCAAAACCCGGTGCCCACCAAGCCCACATTTGATCTTTTGCACAGACAGAGGGAAATCTAAGATTAATCACGATTTGAACGGTAAGGGTTGTTGTCCTGCGACGTACTACCTGCAATTTACAGCAACGGGGGGCAGGAAGGGGGTGCAGAGCTGAATGAGGAAGGGTTAAGGTGATCACAGCCTCAAGGAACTGAACTTTTCCCCTTTATCAGATCTCTAACATAACAAGTCATTTTATCATTTTCCTATTTGTGAACACGTTGTTACATAGGGAGTTTTATTTGGCTATTTATTTTAAGATATCTGAAGATCAAATCAACAGAAACGTTGATCTCACAAAGCCTCAACTCCTATTTACTGGAAATATCCTCTGAACACATGCAGAACTATAGAAGTGCGCTTCAGATCACCTTCATGCTAAACAACCTTAGCTATAGCAATACTGCCCATGCATCTTTGAGGTGTTTTTTCGTGTTTCTAGTTAACTCGGAAAAAAAAAAAAGTAGATCTACCCAACCAAAAAAAAAAAAAAAGGCAATGTTACCATATTAGGCCAGTTAGAGCTGGAATCAAAACAGAACTTTTACGATGATGTAAATATGTAACTGCATTTTTTTTTTTTAGAGGTGTGCAAAGGTATGAGAAATATCTGAAGAGTTGTGTTCCTAACAAGTACCATTGAGAGAAAGTCACAACCCACAGTTTGATAATCTGGCATTGTACTAAACCAGTCAGCAATGCTTACTTTATACAGAAATAATTCTAGAGCAGAGCTGTCTAGAACTTTGTCCAAGGAGTAAAGTTTACGTCTGTTCCTTTTCTCTGTCCCCCATTTATTATCCCTACACATTATCTAGCAGAGTAGGCTTTATAATCAAGACTCCTAAATGTAAGAGCCATACAAACTAAACACCAAAGAACTTCTCAGCAGTTGCCTGAAGCACAATCCAAGAACTGTGAACTTAGTGCCCCGGAACTGAGCAGCCCCCCAAATTACTTAGAATGGAAACAGATGAATCAGGAGACAGAAAAATTTAGAAAGGTGCTCTAGGAAAGAACAAATTTGGAGACTGCCATAGGTAGGTTTTCTTTCTCTGGAGAAAAAAATTGTTTCCACGGTTAAACTAACATAATTTTTACCTGACAGCAGCCACAGATGTTGATTAATCCACAGGCTATATTTTGTGAAAGAAATCACAGGAACTCAGTTTGGGCTGATGGAGTAAGAATGTTGGCATGTTAGGACACCAGAATCCACAGACCAATCCAGATCTGAAAAATTCACTTTATTCTAGAGAATAAATTCTAGAGAAATGTGTGTCCCATTAGCAATGGAACAAAGGAATTCAGGAAGTAGAAAAGAGGAAAATATCATAGCTTTTCCAAAATTCAGCTATCACGTTCATTGCAAAGTGCAGTGATTGCAAGTCTCTTCCTTAAAAAAAAAAAAAAAAAAAGAAAGAATCTATTTGAAATACTATTCTTATAAGGAAGAAAACAGGATCTGACTCAGTATAATCTTAATAGCTGTAGATTTAAGTGCTGTGCAAACAGTGTTCTCTTTCCCCATTTAAATTGTTCCTACAGACAGGAGCAGCTATGTACATTCAGTTTACGGAAACAAAAATCACATACCAGACTCATTTTAATGACTGAGTCAGTGCAACCAGCCAGCATCCCTGTCTCATGCAAAAATTCCCTTATTCAGGGACGCACTCCACTCTTACGTGGAGCTTTTTGTCTGCATATAAGCAATGGGTTCACAAAAAGGAGTGCAAGTATCATTGCCTCCTTTTTATAGATAGGGACATTCAGGGACAAAGATGCAATTTAAGCAAGGTGATTAAGAGACAGATTCTGAACTCTGCTCATATGTCAAATGGAATACGTAATAGGATTCTTCCTACTACATGGCTCTATTTCATCTCATCTATGAGGGGGAATCCTCCTCCCCACAAACATATTTATCGGTGCGGGGCAAGGAACACGGGTTCGAAAATCCACAATGCCACTAGACTAATAAGCAAAGCCTGATTAATCCACCATAGCTTAAAAGTTGCTCACAAGCTGTAGCTATTTCAGTAGGAATTTTCTGTTTCTTGTTGCAGAGCAGGCGACCTGTGAGCCTACTGTAGCAGTTTTACAAGTTCCTCTCCTGGGGAATTTAAAAAAATTTCAAGCTAGGAGAAGAGGCTATATTTAAAGTAAAACCTGTTTAGGTTTTGTATATCCTAAATTTCATGTCAACTTGCTACACCTTCTTCTTCATTATAAAACAGATTACCAGTGAAGTAAAACTTAACAAACATCCCCTGAAAACCACATCAGTTTTTCTTCCTACTGATAAGAGTTATTCCTCTTCGTCAGTGCTGAACAAAATTGGTCTAGTCAAATATATCTATATGCAAATATTAATTTATAACATCTTGCTATGCCAGAGGCTCTAGAATTTATCCATTTGTTTGACACTGATAGTGTGATGCATTAACTATTTCAGCAGTTTCTTCTATGAATGTTTATGTTTGGACAACTTAAAACCAAGCAGCTTTCACTTCAAGGAAATCTGAAATTAAACTGGAGCATTACATGGTGATTTTTCCCTTTGGTACTGTAAAGTTTCTCAGGCAGAGCCAGCCTGAAAGGTAAGCTAGGAAGTCCCACTCGAGTGGCTCAGTAGCCAGACAGTGGGTTTTAGCTTGCAATACGGGGCTAGCATTCCTCTCCCAAAGCCCTGGGACCCGCAAAGGCTGGGGTCTCCTCCCAAGGCAGCAGTTTTGTATCATTTGACAACAGAAAGGAAGGTGCTTTCCAAGCCAAATGGTAACGGTCAGCATTTGTTTGATCATCGTTTATTCTGCAGGAACCTGGAACGCCTCTGTCTCTAAGGAGCAAACCTTCATATTCAAAAACCAGGCAGGACATAGCTAAGACTACATGGAGCTCCCACACCACTCTTCTGACTTTAAGGTCAAACCATAACAAAACATTTCTTCAGCAAGCAGCCTGTGCTATGGTGCTATTTACTGTGTTGCATTACAAAGCGATTAGGTTAACCTGCGATATCACAGTCAGGCCAGAACAGCAAACGCCTGCAAGAATAATGTACGTCACGATTCACAAAAAACAATTTCAAAACAGAAACTCACTAAAAAACATCCATATTTTAAATTACTGTGTGCAGTAAAAGTCTGCATTCTGACCTGTAAAGTCTCACAGTATAATGAAGTTTAGATGAGTCTTTTACAGATTTTCATGCTCCACCTAAGAGTCACAGTATTAACCCAGAATCTTTTCTAAATCAAAAACCTATTACTGGTACCAGAAGATATCTTCTGACTGCCTGGGGAGTTGCACTTTAATTAGAGTAACAGGGAAGGTCTAGGAGTACACACTGTATTCTCTTCACACTGAAATATGAAATGATATTTTTATGCACTTGGCAAAGGTGAAGGAGCACCACACAGAGTACATAGGTACTATAAAACAGAACTTTTTGCATAACAATCAGTAATATTAAATACAACTGATTTCCACATTATCTCTTTCTAATAACATTCATGCTGAATAGCCATATAAATAAGAAAATCAGTACAGAAGACCACTCCAAATACCTGTCCTTATTTAAGCTCATAAGGAAACTGCTTTCAGTCTGGCCTGCACACAGCCAGCAGGGGGCAATGTCTTCAATGCCACAGCAACAGAAACCTAACTGGCAAAACTATTCTCTCCTTTTCCTGCCTCATTAAGAACAGCTTTGTACATACAGATTTCTGGGTCATGAGACTGAAAGACCAGTGGAGTGACTTTGGATGATTTGTTTATGAAGCAATCTTGCAATGCTTACTCCCAAGCACATTAATCAACAGTCTACCGACATCTGATAAGCGCCATGCCCAGCGGTGTTTGTATTTATCCACTTTGTAACCATCTTCAGCTTGGCTCCATCTATGGAGAACACATAAAGTGATGCAAGTTCATGTTAATTACTATGGATAAAATACCTTCATTTCAAAGCTGCCAAAGGGCTAGACAAGCAAAAGCAATAGGAGATTCAAGTAGAATTCATAATTGCAAAGAACAAATTCTGTTTTCTTATAAAAGCCTACAAGCACGTTCCAAACATTTTCTTGAGCTATCGACTTTTTTTTTAATGTAGTAACTGTTAAGATTTCCAGGCCTCTTGGCTAACCACTATAGTTATTTAAAGTTTTTAGGGTCACATGTCAAACTAATAAGAATTTGGCATTTGCTTGGAGAAGATGCTGTCAGTCTTTTGTCATATATGTATTTGTATGTTTAAGCGTTACTTAGGAGACTACATGGCAGCATATTCCTAGCTATGTATACGTTTTATCCCTTTTAGGTCCTACTTAAGTATGTCAAAACAACTTTAATTGTATTGAGCACTGGAAGTACTATATATTCTGTTTAACATCAAAATGTTCCACGAGGTTTTTTCTTGGAAAAGAAAAAAAAGCACAAACCTTTTTTCAACTCAGTGAAACTTCTAGAGACATGTCATTAAAAACTGTTCAGTCAGCAAATACAAGGCAAGTGTTATTAGTGAGAAGAACAATCGTCTCTTCTTTACTTTGGCAGAGACTTTAGCTCGGTGCGCCCATGTTCTGCCTTAGACCCTTAGTGGGAACCACTTAGATGCACACGTTGTGCCTTTCCATGCTCCTCAGTAGGTCTGCTGAGAATTTAAGATGCTGCCATAATGGGGACAAGGCAATCCTTAGGACAGAAAGCAGTTCAGACAGAGGCAAGGAGCCTTCCTCAGACACAGGGTGACTCAGACTAGGCGTACTGATTTCAACAGGACTCGACATATAATTCAACTGGAGCGCACACGCATTTGTAGGACAACAGTCAAAGCTGGAACTTGATAAAAACCCTGGCGGATCTGCTCTCTGCCATCACAAAAGCAGTATGGCAATGGACAAATGTCATATCAGTTAAGCAAGGCACAGTCTCTTGACTGGACTTAACTACTGCTTGCCTCAATAAGCAGTCAGCTCGTACCTGGCATTAGTAAAATAATTAGTAAAACGTACCTGGGAAAATAAATAGTGAGCTCGGCACACCTTCTGAAACAATTCAATTATTTCTCCTTTTTTCTTTACCTTACATTTACTTCTGTTTTGTTTGACATACACGACCCCCAGCATCTCGTATGATGAGTTTTCACAGCCCAGACCTAAATATTTTTGATGTATCTGCTTACCTCAGCAGCACAGATTAGCTACAAAAAGTTACTTTTCTTGACAGACTATATTCACAATAGTTCAACAAGTGAAGAAAAAGCATGTTCGTCTTCTAACTTTTTCTTTTCATTCTGAAGTGCTAGCAGCCTAAGCGTCTAATGTGTGGGTTTTCCTTTTAATTACATATAGCAGCGCATTTTTAAAACAGAAAGCAGTATGGCTTCAGCTCTTTGCATTCAGCAGCACCTGACTGGACCCCACAGACCTTTAGCTGCTGCAAAAAGCCTAGAGGAAGCACGGACAGCGCAGAAGCATTACGCCTCAAGTGATGTCTGCCATGGAAGTTATCCAAGCACTGTAACAAGCACACATTTGCGATTTTTGCTCCCCGTGACAGTGGTGGAACTAGTTTTGTGGGCCTCTCCTGCCGGGCAGAGGCAGCGCCGCTCGCTTGCAGGTGCTCGTACCAGGGGGTTATGAATCTTATCTGCGGGCTGACGCGCAGCAGAGACCGCCTTACACAAGCCGCTGGCGCTAAGGCGCAACAAAATCCGCGCAGCTCGCGGGCTGCTACGCGACGCTCAGAGGGACGCGCGGAGAAACGCT